TCACAGTGTGTGATTTCAACAACAGAAAGAATCATTTTTGCGTTGTCCATTGGAAACTGTCATGCAAGAAGAATCAAGAACATAACATTGACCAATGAGAATCAAGACCTCTAAAAACTGTAGAGTTGAACTACATGCCCTCCATATTCCCTCTCAAATCAGTGATTTTGTTAATGCTGTGAGTTTTCGTAACTTCTTCCAACAATGGTTACCTAAAGAGTCGTGAACTGCAAACGAAGTTGTGGAACCAAATGAGGGAAAGAGAAGGAGACTGTCCTGATGCAAAAGGTTAGGATATATTAGGATTGGTATATAATAATAATTTGATATATTAGGATTATGAAGAAAAAACAGACCGCTAGAGTAGATCCAAGATTGAAGAGAACACACTGTAACAATTTAGTTATTTAAAACTACAAGCAGGGTTTAAAATGTCAGCTCTCACAAGAAGATAACTTATCTCTTTAAATTTATTTCCAGAGCATATATGCATGCACAGACACTTTATCTACACTTTGTGATGAGGATGGCAATATTAGCTTTGATGATCATTTTGAAGATAGTGAAGAAGAACTCTGAGATATAGCGAAAAAAGACCCAGAGTGATTAGAAACCTTAAGCACTTATTTCTGCTATCTGTAAAGTGAGGTAATATTAACCTCAAGGGCTTTGGGGAAGATTAAATGAGAGAAACTAGAGAAAGTGCTAAGCACAATGTCTACTTCATTATATGCTATTAATTAAAGTTAACAATAATGACTATGTTTTGTTTGTTTTTCTTAGACACGAGACCTTGCTATGTTGCCCAGGCTGGCCTTGAACTCTTGGGCTCAAGTGATTCTCCCACCTCAGCCTCCAGAATAGCTGGGATTACAACACCACACCTGGCCTATGACAGATTTTACAAGCAAGCCTTTGTTTGACATATAATTTGGAATATATTTATTGTCTCCAGAAATTCATATTAGAATAGTTTATTCTACAAAGTCTATTGGGTCAGGCCCTGTGTGCTTTATGTCAAAATACTTCTCTCTCACATTCTGGGATCATCATTTGCTAATGAGAGCTGATAGATACCAATACAAGATGATTTGGTGGTCTTTTTCTTCCATCCACATGCTTTAGAAAAAAGAAAAAGGTTTTTGGAGTAGCAGAGAAAACAGAGACTTTGAGGTCAGAAGATGACCTCGGGTTTCTTATCTGTGAAACGTTTGTAATAATTAATTTACCTATTAGGCTATAGAATCTTTTGAGAACCATATGATATACCATCTGTGCAAGTGCTGCACAAATGTTAATAATAATAACATATTAAAAGTCATATTCCTTTATGTTAAAATGGTCACTTTAAGCACACCAGATTATCTCTTTGTGGATTATCTCTATATGGCATTAGTGCACTTATTAAAGTCATCTCTCACCCTCTCTATTAAAACAAGGCTATGAATTTGCCATCTCAATATCTCCAGCATTTAGTATTCTAGTAGACACATAGTAGGCACTGTCGCATATTTTTAAACTATATATTTCATAAGGAAGCAAAAACATTGACTGAACCCTTGAATATTATGGCCCACACAATGAGACTAGATGGCTTGGATTCAAAAATAATGCATTTCTTTCCTTTTACAGGCCAATAAATATGCAAAAGTTTCTCTATCAGACTTAGCTCTCAAGAGTCAGAGGCTGAGATGGAGTTTTTGGTGCAGGATATTTATTAGAAATATGCACCAGCGAAAGGCAAGCGGAGAAGCAAACATTGGTGGAAAGAGGAGTGCTGCTTAGAATTGCCCTCCATGGGGTCAAGATAGCCAGGTTTTTATACCCTGGCCTCCATCAGTCACTGGATATGAGCCACTAGGAAGAACATGTCCTTGGGTAAAGTGACGTTCTACAGCCAAGGGAACAAACCCTTCCCTTGAAGGGGGACCTGGTTAGTGTATCTTCATGTTCACCATAGTCAGCAAATTAAAGTGTTCTGTCTACCATATGAGAAGATAGCACTAACATTTTGGGGCACAGGATGACTTTAATGAGATGTCCCATTGCAGTCACAATCAAATAAAAGGCAATCTCATAGATTTATGGTAGAATATACCAAAACATGTAATTAATTTAGTGAAGACTTGTAGGAAAACAAAGAGCTCTAACATTGATTTGTTGGCATGTGATGTCAATTTCCCATGAAATGCTGTCCCTTGGCAAGTGCTGCTGGGTGGCTGGTTGTGTATTGAAACAAGCATTACTAAGGAAAGAGCTCCTCTCAGGAGCTCCTCTGGGGGTGTAATGATATAGCTGCGGGCAGAGCTCTTCTCAGATGGACGCCTCTCCACTGTCCTAGCTCCTGAAGAGAACGGTTATGTCTGTCCACCAGGATGAGTATGTGCCCAGGAGTCATGGAGAGGGCAGCATCAGCAGCATACGGCTTCCTTTCTGATCTAAGCCTTTCCACCCTCACCTCTGGCCCCCACGCATTTGGTGTTTGATCTTGGGCTACTCTTGTTCGAGTGTGTATGTTTCCATGGTGCCCAAAAAAGTGACCAAAAGCAAAACCATACCTTAATTCCTTCAAGGTCACAACGAAGAAATCAGCTTACTCAAACAATTCCCCAGTCATAATGTGTATGTAGCCTGCTCTACCTAATACAAAATATTGGATGGATTAGCAAACACTTGAGTTTAGAAGAAAATCAACCACTATTTCCTCAGGGCCAAGAAAGGTTGATTTGTCCTTCATTTTAAGCTTCTGGGGAAAGTCCGGATTCTTGTGTGCATTAAGACTTAAGGGATTGCTCTGTAAAGCTGAGATCTCAAGCAAATCAATTAAGTTCATAAACCGCTCTCTCTTCCACTGAAATATTAACTCATTATTATTAAATGCTTATAAATGATGGTAAGATCAATTTACAAGAGGCTTGTCCTCCACCATTATAGATTATTATACAGATTTCTAAGATATAAGCTACTAAGATTATAGCATATTTTATTTTTTCATGAATAATAAATAGAGAAGGCAAGTAAACATTCCTTAGGCATTCCAGGAGTAGAATTTTTAACTGATCAATGTTTTCATTTTGTTCTTTCTCAATCCTAAGGGTTAGACACCAAAATAAAGCTAAATATGTTTAATTTTTTAAAGATAAAATACAAATTCCATCATAACTTAATATGCAATAATGTCTGAATTCTCTCAGTTCCCAGGGCTATTTTTAGGTCTTTAGAAAATATATAACTCTTTTTCTCCTTTCTCAGCCTTGGTATGCCCCCGTTAAAGTTTACCCTGTCTCACCACACTATAAGGTCTTGAAAGGAGTGAGGCTACTTTCACCAGTGGGGAGAAGGGAAGGGAAGCATCCAGGAATGTGGAGAGCAAGAAGCCTGGGTTCTTTTTTTTTTTTTTTTCTTTTTTTCTTTTTTTGAGTTGGAGTCTCACTCTGTCACCCAGACTGGAGTGTAGTGGCCGCTCCCGGCCACCGCAGCCCCGACCTGCTGGGCTCCAGCGATCCTTCCGCCTCAGCCTTCCGAGTAGCCGGAACTACAGGTGTGTGCTACCATGCCCGGCTGATTTTTTTATTTATTGTAGAGATGAGGTCTTGCCAAGTTGCCCAGGCAGGTCTCAAACCCGCGGGCTCAGGCAATCCACTCACCTCAGCCTCCCAAAGTGCAGGATTACAGGCTGAGCCACCGAGCCCAGCGAAGCCTGAGTTCTAACCCCAAATCCATTGGCTCATATGTTTAAGGAGAGAAAAGGATGGATGCTTTCTACTGGTTCTTCCCATGCCACTGTCTTATGATTCTCTAATGCTCCAAGCATATTCTGCTCATTTCCTTAGGGGAAGCTTTGACAATAGACCATGTAATGGGATTTGAAGAGATTATTTTCTATGGCTTCCAGAGAATTTGGAAGATATGAGTCATATAACTCCCCCCTCCAGTCCCAGATTGGTAGAAAGAAAATAAAGACTGGAGTTCGGGGCACGTATTATGGATTCTCAAAGTAAATTGAGTTTTCAAAGCCAAGAAAAGACATTTTACGGCTAGAAATATTATTTTCACTTTTTTATTAGCAACACAAAAGAACAGTCATAAATGTGACCAGCAGTTAATACTTTCGTTATCAGTTAGGAATTATAAGCATTTAACTTTCAGTATTAAATCAAATTCTTTTTATGACAAAATTTCTCTTAATGTAATGGTCCAAATTACCACTTCACATTTGCCTTTAGGATGGGGAGAATCTTCAATTTAGTGGACTGGCTGGCTCTGTTACCAGAAAGGTTAAGAACAAGGTCAAGATTTAACAGCATTAGTTTCATTCTGTTTCAAAGCCATGAATATAAATTGAACCCTGCTGGTTTTCTTTTTTAAAAAAATGTGTGAAAACTGTGCCAAAGAGTGTTCAAAAAACCATCGTCTCTACAGGAAAAGTAATTCACAGGTTGGCTATACTAACATTGGGGGGTACTGTTATCTCCAGTTAACCGGAACAGCATGGTAGGTCAAGGTTGCACTGGAAACTGAGTTGCTGAGTCTGGGATTGTGTGCCTAAAGTGGGCATAGCACTATGCCAACGCCATGAGTATTCTCGTAATGCTCAGCAGTACCATTGGAGCTGGAGCACTGGACAGTCAGTGGCACGGAAACCATTCCTTGTGAACTATTTGTCCTTCTGCTGGTTCTTCAGACTTCACTTATGGATATGTATTTTCTCAACTTCTCCATTTCATTCCATAGCATCTAAGAAGCCAGAATGCATTCGATTTTGTGTTCATTCAGTAGGTCAAATTCTGAGAGTAATATAGCCAAATTACATAAGCCCTCACCACTTTAGTGTATTGATTTCAAAAAATACTCCCAGCATGCATTCTGGAACCCCATTTCTCTCTGTTTTGGGACCCTTCCCCCACATCATAGCAGATGCTCACTTATAGTCCACATCATAGTAAGACATAGAGGAGGAAAAAAAACAATACTTACGCAGTCAAAATTTTGAAGATGCTCTCTTTTTATTTCAAAACATGGGGAATAACTCAAAATTTGAGCCTCAAGAACCAAAACATATTTGAACCAAGTGTTCAGAAGATGAGCCAGGCCTCCATTTTGGCAACAAGCTTCACATGGACACGCGGATATTAGAGAATGATGCCCGTGACACGGCTAAAGCTATATAGCACACCCACAAATAGATTCATACTTGCTTGTCTAATTTGCATGCATGAGTATGGTGCATTCTTCATGCCACTAGTACTTATATGCCTTTTCCAAAGTCAGTGCAGGATCCGTATTTGTGCAAGTCTTTAAAAGTCTGCTCCCTTACAAAATTTTACCATAATTTATCTGAGACAGCCTTCCGGTGACAAATTCTTTATGCCGCCTTTACTTCTCAAAAGTCATTTTTGAATAATAATTATAGCTGTCAAGAGTTCCAGCATAAGAAAATCCGTTTGTTAGTTATTTTAATGTCAGTTAGCTGGCTGTGAGTAAACCTGGCTAAACGTATCCACATGCTTGGTGTCTGGAATTTGAAATTGGTAACCTTTAGCAGCAATGGCACCCTTAGACCAAAATGACAAGATTTTTTAAAACTCCAAAATCCCAATAGAAGATGTCCCAGGAAAAGTTGGGCTTTCCTGCTTTCCAGAGAAAATCATTCCCCAATATGCACCCAACAGTGACAGCCTGACACACTCTTGCATGGGGGCCCACTTTTTCCCACTAATGCTAAATTGTTGGAAACCCAAACAACGTTCAGAGCCAAGGGGGAGAATGCCTGAATCTGAAAAGGAACCAAAAGAAATTGTACCAGGGAAAAATGGGAACTGAAAACAAGTTCCCAGAGTATCTCTCTCTCTGTCAACAAGCATGTAGAGTCTTTATTACTAGAATATGCAGAGTCCCGTGGGGGTTGCTGCATCGTTTTTTTGCCTTAACTCTTTTCTTGCCAGTCCTTCCCTGGCTGGTTGAACCATGTCTATTGTTGTCCCATCCAGAAGCCACACTCAGCAGCAGACCTCAGGAGCTGCATTCCTCGCAGTGACAGGAGAGAATGTACCGGTAGGTGGCAGTGAGTCGCATGCCCCCTGAGCATCGCAGCCTCAACGCCTTCAGCTTGGAGGTCTGGGGCCGGCAGCAGTGACAGGAGGAACGGAAAGGTTGCTTGAGGACAGTGCTGAAAGACACCAGGGGCTCGGAGCGTGATGCCTGGCTGCAAAGCCCCTCACACCTGGCCAGGAGCACCATCTGGGGAAAGAAGAGGAGGTGATTACCCTGCGAGGATGTCAAAACCTTAGGTAAACCAGCATCCTTTGAAAGGCCCCAACGCTCTTTGTTGCATATTGAAATCACCTGTTAAGCTTTTTAAAACGATGCCAACGCCCAAACCCCATTTGAGACCAATTGAACTAAAATCCTCAGGCACAAGGCCCAGGCTTTCATGGTTTTCAAAACTTCTTAGGTGAAGAGTACTGAGGGTTTAGGACAACTCAATGAGACCCATCACCAGGTAGAAATCAAAGAACAAAAGAAATTTCTCCTGACAAGTGGTGGTCTACCACTGGCCCAATACATTGCAATTTTACCAGTAGCAAAATGCAGACAGGCAATCCAAATTGAAATAAAGGAGTAATAAAGGATGACTACAGAAAAACAAAATTGGTTTTCTCAGGGAATAGCTATAGAAAAGGAATACAGTGTCCAAAGAAGAAAAAGGGATAACTTGAGCAATGCTTAGGAAGAAATATTCTGGGTGCCACAACTTAAGACAAGAGAATGAAGTAGAGACAGGAAATGTTTGAGGTCCTGGAATCACAATACTGGGTTTAGACGCTAAAGGAGCCTGAGTTGTATGAAGTCGTATCTGCATATTCAGAGTCATTTAGGGAAATATTAGGATGCACACACTCTGATCATCTCTATTTCCAAAAGCTCGGGCTGCAGTAATAATGCATGTGTGTTCTTTACAGTGGCTCTTAATCTGGCTTTAGTAAACAGACACCTTTAAGAATCTCATGAAAACTACTAGAGTTATCACCAGAAAAATGTACATAAGCACACGCTCAATATTTTCATACAGTTTAAGGAAATAGACAAAAGGCTCATTTATGTATGCCACACACAAATTCTGGTGTCCTGGGAGTGAAAACCATGGGTGGGGTAGGGTGGGATAGCTTGATTCATGAAGCTGCATCTATATATTGGGACAGGGTGGGAGATGGAGAACCTGAGATTATTGATCCATGTTTGCGTGGGAAGGTCTTGCTTGGTGAATTTCATGTTAGGTGATGGAGAAAAAGTTGACCTGTAATTCCATAATCAACAGCAGGATCATAAAAAGTGGAAGTATTCAAATGACAGATTAAAATATGAAACCTTTGACATGAAACCTTTGCACAAAACCTTTTGACATTTACTTTACAATATCTTGGAATTAGCAGTTATTATTAAAGACTCACAAGCTATTATCTCTGACATCATCCTGTAGGGCATAATTAAACACCCAGGAATTAAAAGAAGGAAATGGCCAGTCCACCTTTCCAAAAGGGGAGAAAGATGACATTTGGTAATTATAGATTATTAACATCATTATCTGAGAAGATGCTGGGTATAAACCCAACAGTCACTTAGCAACCATCAAGACAATATGAGATACTAAGAAAAAAGCAGCAGGGCTTGGGAAAGAATAAGTTGGACTAGCCCAACTGGTTTGTTTTCTCTGAATGATCCCAGAGGCACAGAGAAAATGACAAATGTGAGCTACTTTGATTTTATTAAAGCTTTTTATTCTATTCTGCCTGCTCTTCACATTGATAGACAAAATAAACATGGTCTAAAACAGGGTTTTTTGTTTGTTTTGTTTTTAGAGACAGGGCCTCACTCTGTTGCCCAGGCTGGAGTGCAACGGCAGAATCATAGCTCACTGTAACCTCGAACTCCTAAGCTGAAGCAATCCTCCTGCCTCAGCCTCCTGAGTAGCTGGGACTACAGGCATGTGCCACTGCACTCAGCTCTGAAACAGGTTTTGACAGATCATGCCATAGTTCAGTGGTACAAGGGTCAGTTCCTGGGGCCCACCTCATCTCTCTAATGAAAGTCCAAGATCTTTCTCAGTCCCTTTTCCCCATCCCTGCCAGTACATAGGTAAAGCTGTTTGACTTTGGAATAGTGTTAAATTTGCTGATTTCTAATTTAGATTGCCTTTTAGGTTAATTATGCAGTTATTCTTAGAGTCCTCCCAAAATGGAGTCTTTAGAGGTCCAGTTTTGGTCTGGGTGGATATGCAAATCTTCAGACTTAATTCAGAAGGGTCAAAGATGACATGGGATCACACCCAAATGATACACATACCAAGTGTACCAAGAAGTACCAAGTATAGACCTAATTGACCAGATCATTAGCACTGTCCATAAAATGGCCAAGTCAGCAGTGTAGGGTCATTTGTGAAATCAGCCGATTGTGATTTCACTAAAAGTTTTCAGGATGTCAAGCTCCACCTCCAGCCTACTCTAGAGGACAAGAACTCCAGGCACTGAAGGACCTGGAGCCACCTCCAGTGAGCCTCATCCCCCCTCCTCAAGAGCTAGACTTTCTGAGCAAGGGGAATGCACAGACTTGTACAATGAACCCCTTCAGTGGCTGCCTCTAGCCTTCAGAATAAAATCCAAAATCTTGGACAGGACTCAAGGTCTCACAGATCTTTCCAGGTTTACTTACAACTGTTCTCATCATCCACTCTCTACTTAAATCAAGTTTAACTACTTGGAAGTCCACGGAACTGCCCTGGACTCTCCTGCCTCTTGCCTTTGACTCTTGTTTTCCCTCTCCCAGGAACGTCCTTTCCTCTACCTAATAAAATCCCACCTACCAATCCTCTGTGGCCAAATTCAAATGTCCCCTTCTCGAAAAAGAGACTATGAAACAATTATTGGACCCCTGATGTTCTAAACACACACACACACACACACACACACACACACACACACACACACACACACACACATTCCCTCTCTGGGGGATCTATGTATATAGATTCCAGCTCAAATCTAGAAACTAGGTAGAAATTTATCTCTGTTTTGTGTATGTGTGCTGGAAAGGCAAAGCAGGAGTTTGGAAGATAAGATCCATGCCTACATGTCTTTAAGGAATGGAAGGGACAGCCATCTGCTTTCCTGGTTTACTCTTGATAGCCCACATTTTAGCCTCTGTCATGCCTCACTTGTGTCTCGGCATATAATGAACATCATCTGACCTCTTCCAGACCAGAGCTTCTCAGACTGGAATGTGCATGTGGATCTTGTCAAAGGCAGGATCTGATTGAGTAGTTCTGGGGTGGGGCCTGAGATTCTGCATTCCTCATAAGATTCTAGTCGATGTCAGTACTGCTGGGCTGACACCCGTACTTTGAGCAGTAAGGCTCTGAACCCATTAAAGTTTGAGGGTTCTGTTCTAGATGAATCACTAGATAGTGATCATTTTGCTAATAAGAATATTTTATTGAGTGCTTACAACATGAGTTACCTCATTTAATCCTCACAACAATCCTACAAGAAAGATACAATTATGATCTGTACTATTATGACAGATGAGAAAACTCAGGCTTTAGAGAGTTTCAGTAACTTGCCCAAATCACATATCTGGTAAAATGCAGAGCTGGAATCAAACCCAAGTCTGTCTGAAGCTAAATCCCTGATCTCAACCACTGTCATATCTGCCTCCTGTTACTAAGATGTTTTCCTGAGGCATGAGCCAACTCATACTCTTCCAAATCTACATTGACCTGCCTCTGGGAGCCCTGAGCACATCATTACCATAGACATCCAAGCCTAACCTTTTTCATATGGGCTTCGTGGGACACAGCATCACCAACCTCAAGCTTAGGAATGCAGAGCTGAATCTTTCAAGAGCTGACTGGCCAGGTGTCTCCATTAACATCAGAACAAAGACCCACCTGTCCTGTCCTGGAACAGTGTTTACCTACTTTACCTCAACTGAGAGGGAAATATATTTTGCCTTTTTCTCACCAATGATCACTGTGTGCTCCTATTTCCATGGCACCCCTTAAAGCACCCCATTTCTCCTCAAGAACAAGATTCACCCACGCTTCTTCTCCCACTCCTTCCCTCACTAGCAACCTCAAAAAATGGCTCCCCAGCCCATCTCCAGTAACCCAGGTCAACCTCCAAAGGGTCTGAGGGTACCCACACAATTGCAATCAGGGAAACAAAGCAGCAGGGAGTGATGGGAGCTTTGACAGGGTGAGTGGGAACTCAACTCACTCCAACTAGAATCTGGTCTCTTCTCTTGGGTCACAAATCAAACTGACATGAAGTGGCCTTTGCAGGCAGAATACCTCCCTTCCCTCTCTCCTCCATTTATTTGTAAGCATGAGGGCAAAAACTTTCTTTTCTTTCTTTCCACTTTAGTGTCTCCAGTACCTTCCACAGCACCAGCACACAGTAGGCATTGAGTATAAATATGTTCCTTTTTAAAAAATCAAATCAAGCCGGGCTCGGTGGCTCAGCCTGTAATCTCGCACTTTGGGAGGCTGAGGTGAGTGGATTGCCTGAGCCCACAGGTTCGAGACCCGCCTGGGCAACTTGGCGAGACCTCATCTCTACAATAAATCAAAAAATCAGCCGGGCGTGTAGCGCACGCCTGTAATTCCGGCTACTTGGAAGCTGAGCGGAAGGATCGCC